TCTAGAAACAAGTAAAGTTATAACTAAAAGTCAGCATGGATTTGTTAAAAAACATCATGCCAAGCCAATCTTATTTCATTCTTTGACAAAGAACTAAATTAGTAGACCAGTGGAATGCTGTGGGCATAGTATACTTAGATTTCAGTAAGGCATTTGACAAAGTAGACCACAATCTACTTCTTGGTAAGCTAGAAAAAGGTGGAATAGACATCACCACCAGATGGATATGTAGCTGGCAAACCGCACTCAATGAGTAGTCCTTAATGTACTACATTCACATGAAGAGAAGCAGTGGGGTACCACAAGGCTCTGTCTTAGGCCCAGTACTCTTCAATATCTTCATAAATGACTTATGATGAGGGAATAGAAGGAGAACTCATCAAATCTGCATATGACACTAAGCTAGAAGGAATAGCCAACACTCCAGAAGACAAGCTCAGGATCCAAAAAGATCTTGACAGACTTGAACAAAGGGCCCTATCCAACAAAATAAAATGTAATGTGGAGAAAAACAAGGTCTTACATATAGCCAGAAAAAACCAAAGGTATAAGTACAGATTAGGTGAAACCTGGCTCAAAACAGTAACTGTGAGAGGGACCTTGGAGTCCTAGTGGACGATCACATAAATATGAGCCAACAGTGTGTGGCAGCAGCCAAAAAAGCTAATACAATCCTTGGTTGCATAAACAGAGGCATAGAATGAAAATCATGTGAAGTATTAGTACCACTTTATAAAGCCTTAGTAAGGCCTCACCTGGAATACTGCATCCAGTTTTGCTCACCACGTTACAAAAAAGATATTGAGACTTTGGAAAATGTGCAAAGAAGAGCAACTAAGATGATTTAAGGGCCTGGAGGTTAAACATGAAGAATGTTTGCAGGACTTGGGTTTGATTAGTCTAGAGAAAAGAAGAACTAGGGGGGACACGATAGTAGTATTCCAGTATTTGAGGGTCTGCCATAAAGAAGAGGGAGTCAACGTATTTTCCAAAGCATCAGAAGACAAGACAAGACAAGAAACAATGGATTGAAACTAATCAAGGAGAGAAGCAACCTGGAATTAAGGAGAAACTTTCTAATAGGACAATTAACCAGTGGAACAGCTTGCCATCAGAAGTTGTGGGTGCTTCATCACTGGAGGTTTTTAAGAAGAGAGTGGACAGTCTCTTATCTGAAATAGTATAGGGTCTGCTGCTTGAGCAGGGGGTTGGACTAAAAGACCTCCAAGATCCCTTCCAGCTCTATTCTGATTCAAATTATTCTTTTTATTGCTCCAAACATTGGGGTTTTCTCCAGTGACTCCTGCCTTTGTACTATGTGCTCAAAATATCTAAGTTTTAAGTTCATTAGTACTATCCTGTACAAAACGTAGAGCATCTAGCAATAAGATGGCACTCGAAAATGAGCTGCTAAGGGAATGTCTGAGGCAGCGGTATTTATTTATTTATTTTATTTTATTATTTTAATTTCTATACCGCCCTTCTCCCGCAGGACTCAGGGCGGTGCACAGCATATTAAAAACAGATACAATAACAATATACAAAAATAAAACCCTTCTAAAACCAAATTAAAAACCAAATATTAGAGGCTGTGTTCCAATTAAAATTATACTTAAAATCGTCCCTAAATAAA